GTAAGACTTTCATCTTCGAAATACTTTTTTTTTTTTATTATTAAACCTGAGAGTTTTCTGTCCCTCCATTGAAAGCCCAGGTAGCCAAACTTAGAAAATCCAAAAAGGTCATAAATCCAAATTAATTGAGTCTAAATTAAATCTGATCATCATATAAAGCAATCATATCTCTTCAGACTTGACTTGGATTAAGACTTGGATTAAACCACATGATTCATATGGATTTGTTTTATTACAGCTTTATGACCTTTTTAGCTACCTTGGCATTTCGATGGAGAGACACAAATAATAATAAGCTGAATAAATAAGCTTTCCATTGATGTATGGTTTGTTATGATAGGACAATATTTGGCCGAGATACAACTATTTGAAAATCTGGAATCTGAGGGTGCAAAAAAATCAAAATACTGAGAAAATCGCCTTTAAAGTTGTCCAAATGAAGTTCTTAACAATGCATAATGCATATTACGGTAGGAAATTTACAAAATATCTTCAAGGAACATGATCTTTACTTAATATCCTAATGATTTTTGGCATAAAAGAAAAATCGATAATTTTGACCCATACAATGTTTTTTTGGCTATTGCTACAAATATACCCCAGCGACTTAAGACTGGTTTTGTGGTCCAGGGTCACATATAATTTGTGTTTTGAAGATTAACCAAAGTCCTGTGGGTTTGCAACAACATGAGGGTGAGTAAATGATTACAGAATTTTCATTTTTGCTGAACTATCCCTTTAAAAATTAATTATTCTTGTTTTTCTTCATTATGATATCAAGACTTCATTATGATATGGCTTTATGCACCCTCAAAAATATAAATTTAATATCAATTTTAATACAAGGACTAAAAACATGCTTTATGTTCAAGTCGTTGCAAACATGAATTGCATTTTAATGTATTTTTTTAAATAAATTAATATATAGGGCAAAAAAATTGTCATTTACTTTATTGGAGTATTTCACCCAAAAATGAAAATTCTGTCATCATTTACTCACCCTCAAGTTGTTCCAAAATTATATTAGTTAATTTTGTGGAACATAAAATAGGATATTTTGAAGAATATTGGTAACCAAAGAGTTGTTGGTCCCCAATGACTTCCATTGTATGGAAAAAAAATACTACGTAAGTCAATGGCTCCCAGCAACTGTTTGGTTACCAACATTCCTAAAAATAACTTATTTTGTGTTCAACAGAATTCATACAGATTTGGAACAACTTGATGGTGAGTAAATGATGACAGAATTTTCATTCTCGAGTCCCTTAAAGTCAAATGTTGTTCAATGTAGGATATTATGCTGTTCAAGAATATGATTTATGTGCTTTTTACGAGCAGAATCATGAGTATTTTACTGAACCAGTGCACATTAATCATGAGTTTCTCCATCCATAGGCTGCTATGAAAGCTGTGGTCGCCACAAGCCGGATGCACGAGGGCTCACGACGGCGGACGGACAGCTGCGAAATGCCTAACGCAGACAAGACCTCACGCCAGAGCAGCATACAGAAGGACAACACAGTGGATTCTCAAAGAGAGCCCATTCCCATTAAAGAGGGATCTGAGAAGGTTGAAGATGGTGCCTTGAGTCCCTCGTGTCCCCCCCTCCACCCTACCCATAAATCTAAACCTTCTGTCCTATCTGGGCCCATGCACACTCACCCACCCCTGATAGCAGAGGGACTCAGGCAGACCTACGTCCTTCCAAAGGCTCCAGTGGTTCGGCCCAGGGTGCCCAAGAAGAGCTGCTCAGTGGATCCGGGAGGCAAACACGAGCCTTCGCCGGTGAGCACCACCCCACCCAGTCCCGAGAACCTCAGTAATGGTTTCTCCATGAGCGTGGAGGCAGGCGGCAGTACGGCAGAATGTCAGTAGCCTGGATGATCTAAAGATTTGGATTCTCACGGAAGACAAAGGAGGACAAAGACAATGCTTTAAAAATACACTGAGAATTTCTTCTTCTCCTCTTCCACTTTTGCTATTTTAATACTGGACTGACACATGATGAGCTGTTTCTTAAAGCTCTTCGTATGGAGGCATGTGGCTTTGATGGCAACTTTAGGTTAGCGACACAGCAAACATAGTTGTTTTCTCTTTGCACAAGCAGTGTGAATAAGATTGTCTCTCATCTGAACTGAAATTCATGTTGCTCTTTCTTCATTTGCTATCATATGCAACTGTTCATACAATCCTATTCTCTCTTTAAAGTTAGTGAGGATCATGTATCTGTGATGTTGTGATAGTACATATTTGTTTAGGAATGACTGCTAAAAGACCCGTAAATTTGTATTGCATACACTATTCATAAATTAATATATATAGATAAATATATATATATATATATATATATATATATATAAAGTGTATCTTTATATGTCTTTTCTCCCATCTTAATTCAACCTTTTTGTATTAGCACATTACAAAAAAATGCTTCAATGGTTTCTAAAAGCTCAGACTAATGGAAGGATATGACAGAATGCCACAGTCAAGGATTATGTTTTTCCCGGCTCATCTTTGGCAGTTTATTGCCCATCAAATCAAATTGATTTCATTCAGGGTTACCACACTGATGTCAAATTCAGTCGCCCCCTTCTTCTCTCTTAAACATCTGGGGATGTTTTATTGAAAATCGCAGCTAAACTGCCACTGTACTATAAGAAATCTTCTATATGAGGTGGAATTAATACAGCTAGTATGCTTCAGCCACACTGTCTACCTCTTCTACTGTACAGGGGCTTCCAACTTCTCAAATAGGAAATTCTGCAGAGATCTACGCTTGGGATTGAAGGCATGGAAGAATATTTTTCAATGTTGAATGTTGAAGGGCTGTTTTTGGTGAACTTTATGTAGGCTAAATTTATCTGCCTCTATGAACATGTAACAGCATTGCAACATTTTTCAGTATATTATATAGTTGCTTCTTTCATTCTACTTTATTTCGATCTTTGCCAAACAAGAATGCTTTGTACATACTGCTGACATAAACAGTAGCCTAATTAGACATCACTGGAACATTATGGTTATGTATGAACAGTGTTGGGGAGTAACTAGTTACATGTAACAGAGTTACGTAATTTGATTACAAAATAAATGTTACTGTATCCGTTACAGTTACTGAGAAAAAAAAGTGTAATTAAATTACAGTTACTTATGAAAATGTTAACAATTACAAAGGGGGTTACATTTGAATATTTTCTGTAAAAAGCTAGGAAATGTCAGTTGAATAACATTAATTTATTGCTTTGCCTGTTTTTGATGTGCACGATGTCTCCCGCCATTTAAAGGCCGTTTAGTAAAGCGATGCTATTCTGATGCTTTTGATTAGTTCTCGTTTGAATTCGCAGCGCACCACATCTGCCAATTCCATCAATCCACATTGCCGCTGAAAGCTCTAGGCTACAAACTGTCTGAGAGTTGCCACCAGGGCGAGTGATAAAAATGTGTTCCAGCAATGGAAATTTAAAAATAATTTCATCCAGGAATTAGAAAAGGGCACAAATATAACAATTCAGTGCAAAATATGTTTGAAGGATTCGATGTCGAATCTGAGGAAGCATCTTCTATGATGAATGTTAACCTTAATCGCAACCTAGTCGACAAATCTCTCTAGTTTTGACTTGCAAAATAGAGCTATTTAACTAAACTGATTGGTCATTGAGTCTAAACAATATTTTTGGTGGAATATAACTATTAAAAAAAAATACCATGCATGTTATAACAGATACATTGGGGGAGTCTGTTTCAGCTGTCAGTGAATATGAAACTAGAATCTATTCTTGCTTCTGTTATTGAGAAATGTGAACATGTTTTCCCTTCACACACACAGTGTTAAAAAGAATAGTATGTAGATGTTTACTATTTTTATATCAGTAAGAAGAAAAACTTTTTTTTTACTACTGTAAAATGATCTAGAATTGTGTTTTCTCTTAAATATAACTATCTCTGTTTTTTTTTTAGGTTAAATGTTTGAAAATGATTAACAGTTGAAAACATTCATTAGAAATTTAGAAAGGTAATCAAATGCAATCAGTTACATTAATAAAGTAATTGAAATAGTTACACTACGTATTACCTTTTAAATAGGGTAACTTTTAATCTGTAACCTATTACATTTCCAAAGTAACCTTCCCAACACTGTGTATGAATAATATTAATATTTTGCACTTGATTCTGTGTTCAATTGCAAGCCGGTGTAGATTCTGTTTATGTTTGAGCAGGAGTTTCCATGTTTCCAAAATTAATAAATCATGCTATCACATGCTTTAATAATGAGTCTAAGAAAGGCTATTTATTGACCTCAGTGTTTTTAATATTATGTCCCTAATTGGCACCAAAAAAAAAAGTAACACTAAATCTGTAGGCCAGTGTAAAAAGAACTGGAAAGGAAATTATTTACTTATTTCCTGACGTGCTAAAATATGGTTCAACTGATGTTAATTCTGAAATTTTTGGTCATTAATTTTTTGATCATTAAAAGTTCATAATAAAAAATATGAACTGAATTTTAAGTTAGAGTGTCATATTCTAAATACGTCAAACTGATTACATAAAATTGACAAATTCACATAAAATTGATTACATCGTTATCAAAAAGAACAACAAAAATATAGAACAATTACAACTTCCCCACCTCACCATATGTTATGCATAATATGTTTCATTTATGCATAGGCTAATATGCATACGTTTTAATCATTCCATTTTTTATAATAATTCCAAATAAATAATAGTCAAACACAAAATGTCAATGTCACAATTTTCTAAAGAAATAAAGAGGGTAAAAAAAACGTAGCATAATTTTGAATTTGTTGAGGCCATCGCCATTTTAGGAGGAATGGGGTACAGATTGATACAGACGTTAGATGTGTTTAAAACGACCTATATTTCATGCTGTATTCATTTATATAACCGATGTTACATAATAATTTATCAAACATAATAGATCGTTGCAAACAAATAAATAAACTGTCAATGCTCTAAAACGCTGGTGTGATGTTTCGCTGAAGCTGTGCTCAGATGGGCTGTGGCTCCGCAGCATCTCTTCCTCCAGCCGGAAGGAGGTGTGGCTTCACTTCCGCTTGAGCTCGCGACACCGAAGTAGGTAGAGCCGATCTCCTCCGCTTTGTTCTCTACACGGTTTGTGACTCGCTCTACTACAACGGCGGTCGAGGACAAAGGAAACGAAGGTATGTATATTTGGGTTTGAAAATTATGCCATTCTTATGTTATAATCTGTGATTTTTTTTTTCAAATGTGCGGACTGCACGCTCTCTCGAGCGCGCGCTGTTAGCTTCAATACTGGCGGGCCTCAAAAGAGCGGCCTGAAGCATTGAAAGTATCATTATAATTTGCAAAACGAGTTTAGCTAATAATGGGACCAATCTATGTGTGGGTTATGGTGCTATTGCAATGTTGTTGTTATTTATTTATTTGTAACTGTTCGCGCTGCCGTGTGCAGCCTAGCTTAGTGTGGTTAGCCTAGCCTAGCATCCATGCGTACGTTTAGCTATCCGTTTAGCATTTAGCTCTTCATTGTTTTGTGTTTGTAGGGTAAATAAATCGACGAGTAAACGTTTATTTAATTGTAAATAGTAGACTTCAGTGATTTTGTTGATGTTCCTAAGCTAGTGCAAGCATTGGGAAAATATTGAAATGCTCGGCTCGTAACGAGGCAGCGTTTAGTAGAGAATGTGCTTTTACTGCAAGGCCTTTTACGATTTACGTTTTTCATTTTCAGACTAAGATTTTGAAGCTTTAAAGTGTCTACATGGCCGTCAGAAGAGGACACATAAGATATTTAAAAGTAAGTATTTATAATCTACTTTACTTGTATTTCTTCAGTGAAATGGTGAGTTACCTTATAACAGTTCAACATCAATATGAAGAATTTATGTTGCCCTGAACAATCGGTGTTTTGGTTTATTGGGTTTACTCGTTTATTTGATTGATAATTGTGAAGAATTTCAGGGAATTTCAAGTGGTTTTACACAGGAATGTTAGTAAAAGTATATATTTGTCTGTAACAGCAAAAAACTAACTTTTGGTTATGGCCAAACTAGTTTTGGAGAGCTGAAGTTATTGATATAGTGATGTTTAATTAGTGCTTCTCTGATGCGTTTTGACAGTTTCAGCATCTATTTTATCCATGCAACAACGACATCAGCCAAGCGTTAGCAGTGAAGACGCACTTCACCATGACCAAAAATAAAAAGTAGAAGACTCTGTTGCTGAGGAACTTTACTATTACTGGTTTAATTTATCATTTTGGACACAACAGCAGACCAAGTTTGAACAGCGCAAATTTAATTATAAAAACTTAATCAGTTTACAGCTAAATGAAAACTTAAATTTTGGTTTTGGTAAAAAAAAAAATACACATCACCAAATTTTAGTATTTGAGTATTAGTTTCAACTTTATTGGTTTTGTGCGTAGTGTAAGTATAAAGGCCAGGAATTACAGTTAGCAAAACAAAAGTGCAAATAGCTATATATTGCATGGTGTTATTAGGTCTATATTTATATCATGTTGCAACTGATTTGTTGCTGCAGGTTTGTGAGGTTCAGAACCAGGGTAATGACAGAGACTCACACAAGGGTGCCAGCTCAGTAAAGGTAAAATTGGCCATTATTTTTGTGTGTAGACTAATGTCAGATATTGTTGGTCATTCTACTTACATTTCTTTTTTTAGGTTTTAGTCTACCAGTGTAAATTTGACGGTTTGGTCACAATTTATTACTTTTTCTGAAGCAGGAAGAATACGACATGCCGAATGGTTACGAGGACCACATGGGCGATGAGCCGAGTGATGCGAAAACCAACCTGATTATCAACTACCTGCCCCAGAACATGAGTCAGGAGGAGCTTCGGAGTCTCTTCAGCAGCATTGGCGAGGTGGAGTCGGCCAAACTCATAAGAGACAAGATGGCAGGTACGTCTCAACACAATGAGCCGGTGACTTTCTCTTCTGTGATAGTGATGCATGAAGAGAAAGGCTGTTTGTTTTCATAAGTTCTTGTTTATATTTCCAACATTTATTTATTTTTATTAATTTTTTGGTGAGGAAAAAAGGATTCACAGTTATAAGTCCTATATGGATTGCACTTTTGTTTTTTTTTTGTTTGTTTTTTTTTAGGCAAATCTTTGATTTTCTTTTGACCAGTTTATTGAAGCTTGGGTCAGGATTGTGGCAGTTTTTCACTGTCCACTGTGGTATGTTTTATGCTCCAATAAACATTTTGCTCACAAATTTTCATTTGGTTTATTTTTTCCCCCTCTGTTTGAAAAGGTGTAAAGATGGTACTGGTCCGATTCAATATTGAGCTTTTGATTAGACTTGGAGTCCTCCCACAATGTGCTGAGTTTTGATTTGGCTTTGTAGTCAAGCACATTTGTTTTTCTGTAAATGTTTTCTTGGTGTGGAGCAGAGTATGTGAGCAGAGTGGAGCGGCAACAATTTCCCCTCCGCACTCCCAAGTGTTCAGTAATCACTCCGTTCCAGCTCCGCTCTGGGTTCACAATTTTTCACTCCTCGCTCAACTGTTCAGAAACATCCCTCCGCTCCATGACAAAGTTTGCGGCTAAAGTATTTTAGTACGTTTTGAAATATCACAAAGCTTTGTTCAGAAATTATATTAAACAAAATAAACGCAATACTAGAAGATTAGTTTTAATGTGGTTTATTGGAACACTACAATTAGCTGAAGTCTATATTAAATGACTGTTTAACTCACTTGTCTGTGCAGCGTCTCTCTACTATGTCGAAGCTGAGGGTTTTAGTTACTTTAGAAACAGAAATAACGTGCTGTAACTTTTCAGTTTTTAAGCTGATAAATCACAGGACAGCGTTGACTAATATTCTGCACTCTTGAATGTTCCTATGTGCGTGCGATCTGTACGTTATGTGCGAGCTTGTGTATTGTGTGCGTATGCAGCAATGTACCTGTACTATAAACTGTTTAAAACATGAATTCACCCAATCAATATTGAGTATCCACATGCTACAAACAAACATGCTTAAGATATAACCTCCTGCACGTCCATCGCTGACATTATGGGTGCTTACACACTAGCACTTTTGGTGCGCACCCTGGTTCGTTTGACGTCAGAGTTCGGTACGTTTGGATGATGGGAACGCTGTCTTCCGAACTCGGGTGCGAACAGTACCCGAGTCCACTTAAAAGGAATGGTTGAGCTCTGGTTTGGACCAGGCAATCGAGCACCCTTTAACCTTTACCTTCTTTCTTATTTGAGATCCACATATGTCAAGCTAGCTAATGATGTTTAATGTGTGAATTCTTGATAAAATGCAGTTATATTATGCACTGCTGGCATTAATTGTGCTCGTGATGGAGCAGTAGTGGAGCGCTCTCAGAGAGAGTGAAAACCACGACTCTCTGACTGTCAAAAAATCCACTCCTCGCTCCAGTCAATAATCACGCCGCTCACACTCCACTTCACTCACATACTCTGGTGTGTAGATTGCAAAAACTAATTTGACATTTTGAAAAATACTTTCTTTTTTTATTCTTCCCCGATGATGTGGGTATCCTGTCTTGTTATGTGCAAAGTGTACAAGCAAATGTGCTTTATTTTTTGTTGTTGTGTTTTTGTTCTTTTGGCTGTTTTTGTTTTCCTATTGTTTTTGAGGACAATTGTCAATTTCCAGTTGAAGTGTGGAGTACCTGGAAGAGGCCTAATGATGTCAGTCTGGTGCCATCTTCATGCATCTGCCATTAGCTTTATTTGACTTTTGTTTTTGTTTTTTTTCCTCTGCCCGCAGCATCCCACTATCTATGGAATTTAATATACTTAGAAATAGGATGTATAGTTATGATGTTGTAATGTACATTCTATATTTTATTTATTTAAACGTTTATAAATGCCTACTAATGTTTTTTGTTTTTATTTTTAAGGAGGTGAAGGAAGGTATATGTTTTTTTCCTAGAAACTATTCTATGAAGACTCTTTGGTGTTTGGTTTTTATTTCTGTATCCTAACCGTTTTCTTGCCTGATGTCAAAACGTTGTTTTTGATGAACATGTTACTGTTTTTGTTTTACAATTGTCATTCACAAGAATAGCTTGCATTGTTTCTTTTGTGCAGAGAGAATAGTCTGCAGGATGTGGACGAACGTTTGTTATTTTTATTTTGTTTTTTTTCCCTTTTTGTTTTCTCTAGGCCACAGTTTAGGGTACGGATTTGTTAACTATGTTAACCCTAATGATGCAGAAAGGGCAATCAATACACTCAATGGCCTGAGACTACAGTCTAAAACTATCAAGGTAACGTGCAAAGAGGTGTTTTTGTCTCCATGTGTTAAATTATAGATGCCATGTTGGTACACTAGACTCAAAGCAGTTAGGACAGTGTTCCAGTCCTGCCTGCTTTCTGTAAGGAATGAACAACTTCATGAGTTTCCACAATTGTTCCTTTATTTTTTCTTTTCTTTGCTTTCAATTTAATTTTCTTTTTCCTGACATTTGTTGTCTTTGCTCTTATAATCTGTATGATTGGCTGTCTTTGACTTAGCATGGTTTAATTTCGGTACAGAATTATACTGAAGTCAGTGACATTTTTATTTTGTAGTTCATTTAAAGGGGACCTATTATGCCCCTTTTCACAAGATGTAAAAAGTCTCAGATGTCCCCAGAGTGTGTATGTGAAGTTTTAACTCAAAATACCTTACAGATCATTTTTTATAGCTTGTTAAAATTGCCACTTTTAGGGTATGAGCCAAAACGTGCCTTTTTCGTGTCTTTCCCTTTAAATGCAAATGAGCTGGTGCTCTGGGGAAGAGGGCGGAGCTTCAAGAGCTCAAGCTCTGGCAATACCGGTGCTAGCCTTTGCAAATAAACACTCCACTATTAGTACAAGCCTGTTATCTTTACAGAAAACGCTCTCGGTTTAAAAGTCAGTCATCTGATTGTACTGTGCATAAAAAATGCACTTTATGAATTACACCGATGGTAGCACGGCGCAATTGTGGATTCATACATCCAGCTACAGAACACCTAAAACACTTGGGAGGCATTCTCGTCAGTGCAGCAATAGCGGACGGTGTACAACTCGCTGTGAACTCGCTCAGGGCGGTTCTATGTTAAAACGGCAGTGTCTGTCAAATTTCGTGGGCGGGGCCTGTGGCTAATGTGACGTCACATTAGCACCAATTCTGAAAACAGGTAGTTGGGAGACACTGCTTATGATTTATGGGGATTTAAAAAAAAAAAAAAGGAGTGGGTGGATTTTTATCATTATAGGGTGGTTGTGTACACGCACTGCCAACACACATTTGTCCAAACAACATGTGAAAGTGAATTTTGCATAATAGGTCCCCTTTAAGATAAATTCTGCTATGTTCATTTCTCTTGCATGGTTGTGGTGTAAAAACGGAGGGGTAACCGTTAGTAGTCATTTGCTTGAGTATGACATTGTGCCGAACACAAGCCCTGTGCTGAAGTCCCAGACATTTATTTTTATTTTATTTATTATTGTTTTTGTTTGTTTGTTTTTTACTTTTGAGCATTGTAGTTTAATTCAAATTGAAAGTTTTGTTTTTTAGACATAGACTATAAAAGCTGCTTTATACCTTTATGAAGTACACAATAGTAGTGACATTGTAGTCGATTTATTTTTCTGGGTTTGTTTTTATTTTTATTTCATATGTGCATCTCAGATCTGAGGTTATGCTTTGGATACTCAATGGAACTACATAGTTTCATCAGTAATGGGGGCAAACATGATGACTTCTTATATTTTTCTTTTATGATGGATTAATGAAGTGGTTTTTAATGCAGTTTTTCTCCATTAAATTAGGTCTCATATGCCCGGCCAAGCTCTGACAGCATCAAAGATGCCAACCTGTACATCAGCGGTTTACCCAAGACCATGGCGCAGAAGGATGTAGAGGACATGTTTACCCAGTATGGGCATATCATAAACTCCCGCATACTGGTCGATCAGGCCTCTGGTAATAATTCTGTCCTGCACTCTGCAATTTTCGAATTTGAATGTATGCTGGGTCTCAACTAATTTTGGGGGGCTTTCTTACTTGTCAGGTCTGTCGCGTGGAGTTGCATTCATTCGTTTTGATAAGAGGTCTGAAGCGGAAGAAGCCATCAAGGATCTTAATGGGTCCAAACCAGCTGGTGCCTCTGAACCAATCACAGTGAAGTTTGCTGCCAATCCAAACCAGACCAAGAATTCCCAGCTGCTCTCTCAGCTGTACCACACTCAATCCCGTCGGTTCGGTGGACCTGTTCATCACCAGGCACAGCGCTTCAGGTGAGACAGCCAAACACGCTTCCTGTAGTTTTAATGTTGTCCATTAATCAGTATGTTGTAGTTGTTGCATCTAGGGGTGTGTGATATATATCGTCTGCGATAATATCGTAATTGTTGTTTTAACGATGTGCGATTTGACATTATCGAGTATTTTGC